GCACAACTGCCATATTACATCACTGCATAACTGTTGTATTACATCACCGTGTAACTGCCAAACCACTGAGAATCACAGCCCAGCCAAGCTGACACGTATTTTGGTGGGAGTGGGCACACCATTCAGTCCATGACAGATCCTCAACCCTCCTCTCTGTTTTTGTAGAAAAGTGCGGCAAAGTCCACTTCCACCTGCCCTATCGGTGGCAGGTGCTGATTGCTGCAAACACCTGGACGGACCTTCAACTCATGGAGAATATCGAGCAGGCCTATTGTGACCCCAAAAACTGTAGGTAAGTGGGGGGCAGTGGTTGGGCTGGCCAGATCCACGGTAGTATCAGGATAGCATGGTGCTAGCCTCCTGGGCAAAACACAGTTTTCTTGAAGAGTTCCATTCGTGTTTGAGGGAAGTCCTGGGATAAAGATGGCCAATGCTCTGGGGAGTCAAGGAAGATGAAACCCAAGTAGGGTGGATTTTCAGTATGTGAGCTGGACTGATCCAACGGGTTCTGGGAATATTTACCAATCAACGGAAACAGACAATGAAGTGATTATTTGCTTAGTTAATATTTATCCACGTGTCCTGCAGAAACACACAACACAGAGGTCAGTTTGTGTTCCCATGAGCTCATCCTAGAACTTGTGAAAACACTGGCTGATTTAGTACAAAATGGCTTTTGGTTTTATTCCATGGTTTTCACACATGGTAGGGTCCGATTCTGTGTGGTATAAAAACCAAACCCAAACCCACTGCCATCCGGTTGGCTGCTCCAGAGGCTCTCCTTGGGGTAGTTTCTATGATGAGGCCCCATTGGTGCAGTAGGGTACCCGTCGGGTTGCTAATCTTAGGGTCAGCAGTTCGAACCCACCAGCTGTTCCTCAGGAGAAAGATGAGGCTTTCTGCTCCTGTAAAGATTTATAGCTTCAGAAACCCTATATAGGATCCCCATGGTGTGGCGCTGTGCGTGCTGGACTGCAAAGTCATTTGAACTTCAAGGTTGGCGGTTTAAGCTCACTAGCCGCTCCACAGAAACCCTATACTGGGCCGCTGTGGGTTAGAACCGACTTGACAGCACTTTGCAACAACAACAACAACAACATTCTTACAGAAGCAGGTTGAGGAGTTACTGGTGAGTTCAAGTCTGGTTAGCAGCTGAGCACGTCACCACTGTGCCACTAGGATAGAACATTTTCTACCTTGTTTTGGGTCTAAGAGAATACCATACATTTCGGTTTTTGTCGCAGCTGAAATGAGGATTCTACAGATGGCAATATTTACCAGTGATGTTCAGGGGAATAAATTGGGTCTGAGTTTTATACGGAAATTCTTTGGAGAAAAGGTTTTTACATCATTTTCTTCATCTGAATTCAGTGTTTTGGGTGGGAGTTCTGTGTTGCTGCACTCTGCCCCTAGGGGGCGACATTAGCGATCTTGTTTCTAAATCTGCTTAATCAATTCAATGATTGATTTTTTTCAAAGTAGATCACCAGGTCATTTTTCCTTGGCACCTCTGGGTGGGCCTAAACTATCAACCTTTCAGTTAGCAGTTAAGTACTTAGTCATTAGCACCATCCAATAAAACCCAAGCCAAACTAGTTGCTGTCAAGTGGATTCAAGCTCAGGGGAAGCCCATGTCTGTACCCCGTAGGGTTTCAGTGGTTGTAATCTTTTGGAAGTAGAGTGATACGACTTTCTTCCAGTTGTGCTTCTAGGAGTATTTTAATTTATTTTTCTAGGTAAATCCAGAACAGGATTCTTCAGCCTCAGCACTATTGATGTTTTAGGGTAATTAAGCTTTATGGATAGGAGCTCTGGTGTGGTGCTGGGGGTTAATGTGCTGGACTTCAGGGTCAGATTAAACTGCAAGGTTGGTGGTTCAAGCTCACCAGCTGCTCCTCGGAAACCCTATACAGGGTTGCTATGAGTTGGAACCGACTCGATGGCGCTTTACAACAATCTTTATGGATGAAACACGGTAGCTCCTTAGGATAACACTGGACTATGAACCACAAATTCAGCGGTTCGAGCCCACCAGTCACTCTGAGGAAGAACGATTCCTGCAAAGATTTACTGCCTCAGAAATCCTATAGAGGTTCGCTGTGAGTCAGAACCAGCTCACGGCACTGCACAACATTTGTTGCGTGGGTTTGTTTTTTTTAATGTTTTATTGTGAATTATGTGATAGTTTACATGGGAGAACATTGGTTTTACATTCATTCTATCCTATATCGTCTCATTGCCATGGTTACAATCCCCTCCATGCATCATCAACCAACCAAACGGTATATCCTACAAGCCTGCCCCCCTGCGGTTGTCAGCACACAGCCCCTCTCCCTTTCTGGGTCTATAGTCTCTAGCTGCTGCGTCTCTCCATGTCATCTTCTCTGCCTCCAAGGGCTTGTTTTTATAGGAACCTTGGTGGGACAGTAGTTATGTGCTTGGCTGCTAACCAAAGATCACCAGCCACTCTAAAAAGCATGGTGGTCTACTTCCATAAGGTGGTCGTTGTTGTTAGGTGCTGTTGACTTGGCGCTGACTCTTAATGACTTTATGGACAACAGAACAAAACACTGCCCAGCCCTGGCTCGTCCTCACACTTTTTATGTTTGAGCCCATTGATTCATCTACTGTGTCAATCAACCTTGTTGAATGTCTTCCATTTTTAAAATAACTTTGCCAAACATGTTTTTCTCCAGTGACTGGTCACTCCTGATAACATGTCCAAAGTATGGGAGACCAAGTCTCACTGTTCTCCCTTCTGAGGAGCACTCTGGCTACACTTTTTCCAAGACAGATTTGTTTGTTCTTTTGGCAGTCCATGGTACTTTCAGTATTCCTTGCTGACATCATCATTGAAATGCATCGATTCTTCTACGTCATCCTTATTCATTGTTCAGCTTTTCACATCTGTTAAGATTATGCCTAGGAAACCCTCTGGGGCAGTTCTACAGGATTGCTAAGAGTTGGAATCGACTTAATGGCTGTGGGTGTAGGAGGCTTTTTAGCAGCATTTCTGACCCACTAAAAGAAGGAGCTCTGGTAGCATAGTGGTTATGAGCCGGCCTGCTAACCTCAAGATCAGCAGTTCAAAACTATCAGCCGTTCTGTGGGAGAAAGATGAGGCTTTCTGCTCCCGTAAAGATATACAGCCTCTGAAACCCTATATAGGGTCACTATGGGTTGGAACCAACTCCACGGCACACCACCACCACTACCCACTAGAAGCCAGTAAGCACTATCCCCCTCCCCACTCTGAGTTGTGTTGACCAGAAATGTGTTCAGACATGGACCCAGTTGAAAACTTCTGATCTTGAATGTTTCTTAACACAGAAAT